CCCAATTCCCGGGTTGTCGGTGTCCTGTCGTCGATTGCCTGCCCTGGCCTCTCCGCGATCGCTCTTATCTGGATAGCGGACCTTCCTCGTGGTGAGCATTGAATGCTGTTCTGGTCCTGAATTCGCTGAGCAGCGAGTGCTAACGGGATCATGTGTTTGAACCCTGACAGAGCTTCCATGATCTGATCCCCTGCGTCGGTGTATCTCCATCTCAGAGCGTCTCCATCTCGACACTGCGACTGGTCGCCGTCACTCAGATTGCGCCATTCTGCCTGTCCTTGTCTGGCATCTATCGATAGAGATATTTTAGATATTATCACTGCTTTCGCGCCATGGCTTCCACCGGGTTCGCGAACCCGCAAAATCCAAATGAAGGGGTGATGCAGTATGGCGGGGCCTACGGTAAGCCGTGCTTTTCTTTCTTTACTTTGTTAGCGGTCATGCGGGTGTCAAGCTGGGCCAAACATGATATCAGCCGGGAGAATGGGCAGCTTGTCCTGGATCAATTGGGTGCAATTCCAGCGCGATGGACCGCTGGTGCCGAGCCACTACGTCAAGGAAGCTGCTCTTTCGGACACTTGATATTGTGCATGGTTGAGCCACTGACTGCTGTACCGTCCGTGTTGGATCGTTTTTTTTTCTCTTGCGTTCTCTTACAGTACCAAGCTAATTCCTTTGCGCCAACGTTCTCCCCCACGGATGGTCGAGTCGTCGTGGCTTCTCCGTCGAGCTCATGGTTATCCGATCATGGGCTGGATGGATGGATGCGCAGACATTCGACGCCGTGGAAGGAGTCGTAAAGGCGCCATCTTATTATACAGGCCCGCCACCCCCGGATCCCGCCAAAAACCCCTTCCTTTCAAACTTAGGATTCTTGAAGATGTTAGGGCAGAAGAAGACCACCCGAGGTTTGTCACCGGCGAACGCTTGAAGACTCTCGCAAACACATGCTCATTTTTTTTTGATCAGACGGGCAACCGGCGAAACGACGAGGTCCCAAGCCGGACTCCAAACCTGCCCTAACGCGGCGGCAAGAGTTGAACCGTCAAGCGCAGAGGTACCCATCCTGTTCTGGGTCGTGTGGAAGTCGTGTAGTTAGAGACGCTCACGGGTCGCCGCAGAACTCACCGTGAACGGAAAGAGCAATATATTCGAGCGCTGGAAACCGAGATTTCGCGGCTAAGAGAGGCGTATAGCAATGATATTTCGGCCGCGCACGCCTCGTTACAGCAACATCGGGAGATGCTGCAAAACTTGAGGGAAGAGAACAACATCCTCAAAGAGATATTGCGATCGTATGGGATCCCATTTGAAGCCGAGTTTGAACGCCGGAAAGCAGAGTATGAGCACCGCCAAGCGGGCGCCTACCAGGCTGAATCGTTCAACGGCGGCAGCAGCACGACGGGCTCTCAATCGGGAGGATTCCAGAGCTCAAACCAGGGCTTCTTGACCACGCCCGCCTCCAGCTTCTCGCCGTCGAGCACGAATGGGAGTGGCGGGGAGCGAGGCGAGGCGAATGGACCGTCGTCATTGCAGGTGCACGCATACCAGTCCAGTCCGACTGAGCAGCCTGGATGTCTCGACTTTTCGAGCAAGGCCGACGGTTCGAAGGAGCTGCAATCCACACCAGGCATATTTGAGGAAGACCCGCAGTTGGGAATCGATTTGATTCTCACGTACGCTCCCCGCTTCCCGTGCACCCAACTTGTGACCTGGTACTAATTGGAAACAGACTGGAAGCTCCATGCCGCGACCACACCGAGTATCTCTGTCGTGAGGCAGCTAAAGACGTAGAGAATCAAATGTTCTTCTCCGGCCATGCGCTCATGGCGTCTTGTCCGCCTCCCAGCCATATCGAAAACGTGCCGGAAGGGAATCAGTACCCGCACCAGACGTACGACCTGCCATCGGCGAACCTGGAGACGCTGCTGAATCTCAGCAAGCAGCTCGTCTCGGAGGGTCAGGTAACGCCGATTATGGTGTTGCAGAGCCTGAAGAACCACGAACTGTACCACACGCTGACGAGGGAGGACGTCAAGACGATCATCGACACGCTGTACGCCAAGATCCGATGCTACGGGTTCGGCGCGGTGGTCGAGGACTTTGAGCTGCAGGATTGCCTGAGCAGTGTCTTGGGGTCCAAGCTCGAGTCTGGCATACCGCCACCGACCAACGTAGGAGATGATGCACTGTATGCGTAGTAGTCATTACCTTTGCTCACTCACTATTTCCGTGCTTTTCCCGTACTATATACCTCTAGGCAGCAATGCCATGATTTCGTCGTCATTTTCCACTCTGCTTCATAGTTCTAAATCTATCTTTCTTCCATTGTCACTCGGTATAAGGTCATGTCATGTCATGTCATGTCATGTCATATCACGTTATGGAATGGATATCACGTTGTTTTTCTCAACACAGCAATCTCTCACACACACACACAAACACACACACACACACACACACACACACACACACACACACACACACACACACACACACACACAC